TGTCTATTTACGCGCGAATACCACGATTTATTCACGCGTACCGCGTCTGGTTTGAACAGCATGATAGGTGTGTGATGCGTGAGGCCAGCAAACACGATGTAGCTTTCAGTTATGATGAACACAGTTTCTATAATTATACTTTATTTATAGATAAAAGTCTCTGCTTCTGCATACAATGACTTTATCTTACTGGAGTTTATAGCCGTTTCACTTTAATTCAGGACGCATCAATGTCAATCTGTAGGTCAATTGGAGACATTCATAAATATTCCTAGCAGATCTAATAAAAGTTGGAGACATGCTACGTAGACGTGCTAAATTGCACTTCAGCATTGTTTATTTGAGCACACAAGAAGATGTGCGCTTGAGCAGCGTATATTTGAGAGCATGCTCATCTTAAATTAATGCAATCTTACAAACATAACTTATTATGTTTGTATGTTATTAAAATATACAAAAACATAAAGAACGAAATCTTACCTATGAAATGTTCTGTCTTTATGCATTTATTTTCTTTGTTTGCTCGTTACTACACCCATACACAACGCTAAAGTCCAGCATCTTCACATTAGCTTTAGTCCTGACTTGTGCAGTTGAATGACATTTGTCCATGGAGCACTGTACAAAAATGGCGACGCTATTGACAAATGTTCAGGGTCTGTATGCGAATTTAGTGTATATATATCTATGAAATTATTAAAGGAAACCTAATTTGCAGGCCTAGAACAATCTCACATGGAGTAAAAGAAGCTTGTCGCTACACAAATTACAACCTAAGTGTTAGTTTCTAATGTACTTACATGGGTAACTGTAGTCCGATGAACTTCTTGTCAAGGTCAGCTTGTCTGGTTTAACATGTCTAACTGAACTGCTGCTAAAAATAAAGGGGGCAATCGGGAAAACATGCCCAGACACTCTACAGTCAGAGTCTTCTGTTTGCATAAGATAAGGTTTTCAGCAAGGCATGCAACGGATAATAAAAAACTCCCTCTTCATTTCATGGGACATTCTACAAGAAACAGACATTTCATAAAAAAAAAATAAATAAAAATTGACATTTAATAAAAAAAAAAAAAAAAACATTTTAATGGTTCAAAACACCCTTGAGTACTTTTTTATTTTAACAACACACTTTTGTGTGTGTTGAGCATCAGTTAAGACGTTGTTGGCACCTGTCAGCTTTAATTGATTAAAAAATAATTGATAATTTTGAGCTTTTGTCCGCTAATTTCATCTTCCAGGTTTAAAATAATTTGTGTGGCAGGATCAAAATTGGTGACATATTGCAAATCTGCAATTGGAGTGATGACGCGTCAGTTTCTCATTATTATTCATAACTATAATAATAACTGAAGCTATAATAAATCTTGTGCACAACATAAATTACATTTTTTAAATGTAATTTTGTTTCTTAATGTTCAATAAAATATTTTCAGAATTCTGAGGTCAATCAAAGGTTAATATTTATTTTGAGGGTAACTACACCTTTAACAACTAGATTATTTTAGCTACATTTTAGCTGTTTTAGCTATGAGATACTAATCTAAAAGTCTTCTGAAGATCAAACCAAAACAGAATATTTTTCACAAATTTAATTTAGCATAAACGATATTAAACTGATAACAATCAGAATGTCTCAAAGTTTTAAAAGGTAAAGTAAGCAACATTTATGCACAACATAAATAAAATCATGAAAACATGGAGAACTTTTAAACAAATGTTATTGTAAGGATGTAAGGAAGACAATTAAACCTTATTACTGAATAATTAATGAATGTTAATTTTGTTAGACGTTTTGTTAAGATGGATTTGTTGGTTGTACTGATTGGCTAAAGCTGTACATGGATAATTAGTGAAAAGTATGACCCGTTTAAAAGTATTTAACACCCTCAACAAGATTAGTTTGGGAATTTTTAGGTTTTGAAGTTTAAGACATTTGAAAAAACAAAAACTTTTTTCCTCTTTGAACGCAATATATTTTATTTTAGAAACTTTCAAATATTTTGGAGCAGTAAACACGTCAGACTGCTCTCTTCATTAGTTAATAAACACAGACTTCTTTACAATTTAAAATGGCATCTTTGGATATTTTTTAAAAAGCTGAAAAAAAGTAAATAAAAATCTTACCCATACCTTGGGAATGGTATACCAGAAAATGTTGCCGGTTTGAAAACCTAGACTTTTCCAAACCCAGTATTGACCTTATTCTCCGCAAACGAGTGGGCGCTGCCATTTGAATCTTTTTGGCACGAGACTTTCGGTCTCATTCACTTTCATTCATTCTTAGACATTAAAAACTGCTCGTTTCGCTGTTTGATGTTGCAAACTGATATTTCCTTGTTATATTATTCTACTTGGTCTGTATAGTCATGCAAACATTTGTTTGTAGAGCAAGTAGTTTGACCGTTTTTTGCCGTTTATTATTCTTTGTCATTTCTCCCATAGGCGACTGAAACGGAAGTTCTAAGACAATCGCGAAAACAGGCGCACTTCCGCATTTTAGAATAAGGTCAATACCTTGAAAACGGTTATCGTCCCATGCCTACTTCACAGTGTAGATTTATCTGAACAGTTAACACAATGTAATGTTTAACAGAATCAAAATATGTTTTCTGTAAAAAATTAGTGCTTATAAATATCCAAACCTTAAAATGAAATATAAATAAATAAAATAAATAAAAATATATGAAGCTACATGTATAAAATAAAGATTAAATGTATTGAACTTGCTAATGACACCATCACGTCTTTTTTAAGGAAACAGCTGCTTTATATCTTCATATATATTTTCATAAATATGAGAAAAGGGTAGCTAAATCTCCAACACTAGTCTTTTAAACAGCACAATGTCCTTTTCTGCAATATCTGAATATATATTCTGTGCAAAATTGTTGAACGATATCCAGTCCTTAAACATAAAGAAAGAATAAGGCAATTATTGCACTGTTATCTGCCAGACATTTTTAATCACAGTATTACTTTCTAATGATGGCTTCATGTTTCCCCCCCATTTTTTAGCTTTCTTAAGTCAGATTTATTAATGTAGTTGTAACCACGGGGAGTGACACTAACAACAGAGGTTTGGATCCAAATGCAAGTTTATTCAAAATCAGGCAAGCAAAGGTCAGCACAGGTGCAAACAGATATACAATGGAAGTCCAGCATCGTTGTCAGAGGATCAGGCGAGTGGTCAGAAGGCAGGCGGAAGGTGGAGACAAAAGGTAAACAAGGCTGAGGTCAAAACAGAAGAAAACAAGACTAGAAAACCACAGTGTAGTGTTACTATACAGATAACAAGACTCAGCAATGTGAATGAGTGTGTGTGCTGCTTAAATAGTGTGTGTAATCAGTCTTTAACAATCCTCAGGTGGTGCGAGTGTAATCAGTCTAAATGAGGAAGCAGGTGTGTGTGGGCTAGTGATGGGTCGTTCATGAACGATTCGTTCATTTTGAACGAATCTTCAATATGACTCGGGAACTACGAGTCCTCTCAGGGAGTGATTCATTCATCCGCGCGTGCGCACATTTGTTCAGGTATCGTTAATTTCAAGTCTTCATCACATTGGCAGAAGCCAATCATATGCATTTAGAGCCGGAAAAAGAATTGATCCGCTCACCTCTCGAGTCCTCTATCGGGTCTAAGTCACTCGTTCCTCACGGGCCAATCATACGCGTTTAGAGCCGGAAAAAGAATTGATCCATACATCTCTCGAGTCCTCGGGTTTGATTCATTCTGTCACGTGATGAACGAACGATCATGGCTCCTATCAGCTTCGACTGTGCATTGGTTAAGATTATATGTGACTGTCAGTGTAACGTGAATGAACCCCTGACATATGAAGACATGAAGAGGTGAGCTGAGCAAAGAGACAACAATACCTTCATAGACAAAAGAGCAGGTAAACATTGAATTATTATTTTCTCCTTCTTATATTCTATTTATGACTTTTTTGTCGTGCAATCAACCTTTTGGGTTAGTTGTAGATGTGTTTGGAAGCAATTCGTAACATTTTAAAAATATTTTGGCAAATTGAACCAAATGAACGAAATGATTCGAAAAAAGATTCATTCATCTCGATGAACGAGACTCAAAGATCCGAGTCAGTAAAATGATCCATACTTACCATCACTAGTGTGGGCGAAGTGCATGTATGCAGTTGTAGTCCATAAACTGGCGGATTTGTAGTTTGAATGAAAGAATGTTTTTCAGCGACCTCTGGTGGTTAGAGGTCGCTGGTGATTGTGACAGTAGTGAATCATCTGATTTCATTAATTGTCTCAGGGCATTTTTAATTCAACAGGTGTAGCATTTGTTAATATCAATATTAATTATTCGAATTCTTATATTCACTTAATGACAATCCTACCTGCCCATTCTAGTGTGTTGAGCTCATGACTGCTGCTTGGTAATGTTAAGGCGCCACCTTTGCACTTTTTATCATCCTATTTTCATCTCTTAACAAATGGTTTTGCTGATGAGCAAGGTGCTGCTGTCAAATGATTATTACGCTATCTTTAACCTGCAGGCTGCATTTTGCTCATAGGGCTGCAAGAAAATAAATAAAAAGAGCGGAGCTGTGATTAAAATAGTGAATAAAAAGACTGAGGCTTTGGTCAAATAAATAAGTAATTGTATAAATAAATAAAAAGCGGTGAGGCAGTGGCGCAGTAGGTAGTGCTGTCGCCTCACAGCATGAAGGTCGCTGGGTCGCTGGTTCGGACTTTGGCTCAGTTGGCGTTTCTGTGTGGAGTTTTCATGTTCTCCCTGCCTTTGTGTGGGTTTCCTCCGAGTGCTCCGGTTTCCCCCACAGTCCAAAGACATGCGGTACAGGTGAATTGGGTAGGCGAAATTGTCCGTAGTCTATGAGTGTGTGTGTGAATGTTTGTTTGGATGTTTCCCAGAGATGGGTTGCGGCTGGAAGGGCATCTGCTGCGTAAAAACTTGCTGAATAAGTTGGCGGTTAATTGCGCTGTGGTGACCCCGGATTAATAAAGGGACTAAGCCGACAAGAAAATGAAATAAAAAGCGCGACTGCTATGAGTGCAGGCAGATAGGCACACCGGCCCTCGCAGCCCAAAAAAACAGACAGGCCCAGCGAGAATTCTCCCGGTTCTCCCGATTAGCCAATCCAGGCCTGTTTGTGCATATACATTAGATAGGTCAGCACTGAAGCCTAATCTGGAGCTAATCTAGAAAAAATATCTTACGGTAACGGTCCAGAAACTAGTACACATATATTTATATGTTATTGAAAAGATTAAATACAAATTTAAAAAAAGGGGGAAAATCAAGAGAAGCAAAGAAATGAAAAGATTAGTTGAAAGTTTTATTTATTTTTATTTTTTTGCAATATTTTGCGTAAATTAATTGTGTTATCTTTCAATTTCTATAGATGTTCGCTGACTAAACTATTATTTTAATAAATCTATCTGTTTTATAACTTAAATTCACCAGGATGCATTGCCTATATTCTCTGAGAAATGGATAAACATTTTCAAATTGGGCTGTTGTCAATAATGCTGAGCAATGTACACTGTAACACGTCCTGGGTTCCACACAATGACTTTATCTTGTCCCAAGACAAATCTATTAAGTTAACTTATTCGTTTATACAAGTTTAAGTGGATTAAACATAAGACAATTAATCTTTTCCCAAAAATTGCTCAAGAAATTTGTTGTTTCAACTAATTTTAAAAAATAGTTCAAGCAGCAAAATACTTTAGTGTATAATGACATTCATGACTACATGGAAACATGCTTTGAACTAGGAATAATTCATGTTGTTTTCCTTACAAAAATCCACAAGACAATGTACAACTTGATTTTAACTTTTTTATTGTTGGATTAAAAACATTTGAAATTCTGAAATGATTACGGAACATTAAACATGATTTGTTTATAGATATTGCTTCCTTATATATAATATACCAGTTAAAGTGGTTGTATACAAAGTCAAGAGCATGGGTCTCAAACTGGATTCCCGGAAGGCTGCCTCTCTGCATAGTTTTGCTCCAACCCTCATCAAACACAGTTGATGCAAATAATCAAGATGTTCAAAACTACTAGAGACTATTAAGCAAGTGTGAGTTGGGGGTGGTTGGAGATCAAATCTGCAGAGCTGCGGCCCTCCAGGAATTGAGTTCAAGACCATTGGGAAACAAGCATATGATTATAAGGTTTTCCTCACATGAACAGAAACGGTAATTAAAAGTCACATCAAACACATATAAAACACATGATCACATCAATAATACAATGTGATTATAGGAATTATTAAAGTGGATATGTTTGAAGCAATGTGAATATATCTGGATTAAAAGTAGTATTTTAGTCTTAAATGTGAAGTGTGTGTGTGTATTACACTGGACACATCTACTGAAAATTGTAGTTTCATGAAGCATAATTGAAAAATCATTGTAAAATATCCAGATGTAAAATCAGGATAATTAATTATGTATTAACAGGGACAATCTGCCGTGACGTCATCACATTCATCAGTTTTCACTTTGATATCAGTGTAAGTGACGCCTTTGTATTGGCCGTTGGTTTCGTACTGAAACACACCGCCACCCTTGCAAGTGATCTTCACTATACCAGTGTACGGCAGGTCAAAAGTGGCTCTGCCAATGCTGATGTTAACAACCACCTTCTTCTTTGGTGGGACCTCAATAGTGCTAGACAGCGTTTCGTTTTTCTCTTCTGCGTAATCCTGCTTATAAGAGCTTTCTGCTGTAACGCTGATACTGAATCCTTTCCTAACTTCCGCCACCGCTGGAACCCCAGCACTCACCTCCACACTGAAGGCTGCTGTCAGGCTTGTAGACAAAGACCATGAGGACGCTGTGGTCACTTTCTTTGAGGTTTCGATTTTTTGTTGTTGAGCGGCAGAGGTGTTGTTTCTGAAAGTCATGGACTTGATCTCTTCCACTGCCACCCTTGGTATTATTTGGTGAATTGTGGGATAGTAAACATTGGTGAGGACTACTGACTCAACTGCCATGAGAAACAGAAACCCCAAGCAGTCGATGTCTGCACCAGCTCTTCCCGCAATGCCAAGACAATAACCAGAGCAGACATCGACGGGAAATTCTGTTTTTAAACCCCACTCTGTCATCTTGGCGAAAAATAACCTTGCATTACCTTGACTGTCTATGGTCTTGAATTTGATGCCTCCTAGGCGTGTTCCTGCTCCGTTCCCCCAGAGGGACAGTGCGGTGAAACTCTCACCAGGCTTGAACACAAACTCTTGATGAGGTCCAGCTGGTTCTCCGAAGGTTGCATCTCTACCATCTGAAAGCCAAGCCTTAATAGCCTTGATCTGCGATGGCCCCTCCCAAACCCAGAGCTTCTCCAGTCTGGCACCATTTCTTTCTCCAGTAAATGAAAATTCCACACCTCCTCCACCACCAGTTGGCTCAATTGAGGATGTGTAGGCCATGTCTGAAGAAATTAGATCTGAAAACTATATGAGAGATTATTATTAACACAGGGAATCTACAATTGAAGTCAAAATTATTCGCCTTTCTGTGAATTTTTCTTTTAAAAATATTTCTCAAATGATTTTTAACAGAGCAATTTATTTTTTACAGTATTTCGGATAATATCTTTTATTTCGGAGAAAGTCTCATTTGTTTTATTTAGGCTAGAATAAAAGCAGTTTTAATATTAATATGTTATTAATATTTTTTTAATATTAATATTTTCAATATTAAACAATAATTAAAAAAAAAAATTCTGCTTGTCTACAGCAGTGGTCCTCAACCTTTTTATTACCGCAGACTGTTCAACACTTCACAATTTTACTAAGGGTGTGTGGGGGGGTTATTTTTCTAGGCAACCATCAATCATTTTCTCAGAGGATGACAAGCTGACAAAACATTGCTGTAGCTCTGATACAAGTTTTATTTATGGAGAAAATTAAAAAGCACTGCTGTGTTCGTCTGAGATAATTATTCTACCAAAATCTGTGTATTCTATACAAAAGATGCTGATCTGTCAGTTCTTGTCATGTGACTTATGTTTAGTTTTCAACATTCTAAAAATGTTTTCAACTGGGTGCGCCTCTAAGGCGAGAACGCGTTGCGTCGCTCCTTTATTGGAAATAATGAGCTTGCATGCGGACAAGACAATATGTGAACGGCCACTGTCATTCGTGATCTCCAGCAGTTGATCTTCTACTCACACAGATTTTGAGAAGTTGGATTTTTTACTGATTTGTCGACAAATGAATTGCGAATCTATTCTTTGGCAGTTCACGGGTCCTCAACTGGGCCTTTTCCTCTTCGCAACGAGAGGTTGAGGACCACTGTTCTACATAACAAACCACTGTTCTAGACTGATTTCACGCCATTTTAAACGGCGAAATTAAGACTGCGGTGGGAATAAACACTGAAGTATCACCTGAGTCATACAGGAATGTTGTGTACCTGCCTGTATATCCTATCAGTGAAGAGCAAGTGACACACTGCAAGTGATTTCACCACCTTCCGAGTGACTCAAAGGTCCTTTATGAATGAATGGTGAAAATAAGGAATATTGGACTTCATTTTCAGTTAAAGGAAATGGCACTAGTTAGCTAACATTTTCTTTCCCTAACACACATTTAAACTGCCATCAATCAAACTCAAGTTAATGAACTGACTCTTTCACTGTATTAGACTTGTAAAGATACAAAATTTCGGTACTGAAATAAAAAAAAATTCCTGTTAACATTTAAGCACTGTTGATGGCATTTTTAAACAGCGCTGATTTGCCACGAGGATGTGCTACAGATGACAGCAGTGTTTTATCGCTCACCCGGTTACATAGGCTGAAGCAGGGAAGTGTTGTCACGGTGTTTACCTGGTGCTATGAACTAAAGCCTACGACACTTAAGCGTATTACTCTGAAAGAGATTGTAATATTGTTTGATGCCTAATATGCTTTTAATTGTTTAAATTAAACTTAATTGAATGATATTAAGGTGATGTTTACACCATTTCAGCATTTTAAAATCGCGGCAACAGCTGGAGGTTTGTAGTTCACAGCATGTTGTTGCGATGTTTACAGTGCTGGTCCTATACTTCCGGGTTTCTTCCCACCCCAGCCTCTCTTTCGTGTTTTAAAATTGTGGCCACGTGAAATAAGCTTATACAGTTAACCCACTTGCCTAGTTGCCCTAACTTGCCTAGTTTACCTAATTAACCCAGTTAAGCCTTTAAATGTCACTTTAAGCTGAATACTAGTGCCTTGTAAAATATGTAGTAAAATATACTGTCTTCATGGACAATGAAGGAATCAGTTATTGGAAAATAAGTCAAAGTAAAATAGTTATTAGAAATGAGTTATTAAAACTATTATGTTTCTAGATGTGTTGAAAAAATCTTCTCTCTGTTAAACAGAAATTGGGGTAAAAATACAGGGACTAATAATTCAGGAGGGCTGATAGTTCTGACTTCAACTGTACGCAGGGTAGTATACAGTACATTAATAATAATAATAAAAGTTTTAATCATTTACTCACCCTTCACTTGTTCCAAACCTGTTTGAGTTTCTTCTGTTGAACACAAGAGAAGATTTTCTAAAGAAGGTTGGAAACCTGTAACCGTTCACTGTAACTATTATCTTATATATATTTCAGAGTTAGCTTTAAACTATAATAAACTGTATATAATGATTTAAGTCTGTAAAATGAATAAAAATAAGTACTTTATTGCTATTTTGTGTACCGTAAACATCAACCAAAACATTATATCACTCAAAAATGTAACTGCAAGTCACTTTTACAAACTTTCAAACATCAAAAGTTGTCAAGGTCTCCTGATGCAATTCAGAAGCATAAACACCAATCCCAAAATATTTAAATATTTTGACTTACCAATGTACCAATTTTTACAGTGTATGTTATACCTCTTAGAAAATAGTATTTGCGAAATACTGCTGTAAGACACAGTAAATAAATATACCTGCTCCATATAAATATACTCACATGTAGACTGAAGAATCTCTTGTCAAAAACTCAAAAGTCAAAAGTCAGTGAGGTGAAATGTGTTGAACTGAGCAGCTGTTTAAATAGAGCTGGAAAAGACACCGAAAGCCCATCAGTCAGAATCTTCTGTTTGCGAATGAAAATAAGGTTTCCAATTTAAATTTTATGTAACCTATTCAGGGCTATCAATTCATAAATTTTCAATGGTTGATTAAACTGTATAATGTCAAAAAAGCTGATAGAGATGTCAAAATGAATACCTTTTTAATAATGTTAATATTAAATAACAAACAAAAAAAAAAATGCTCAGAAGTAACAACTGTCTACACTCTCTCAAAAATAACTGGGGTCACTGGGGTTTTGTTTTTTTCAAAAGGTTGACTTTTGTACCTCGCAATTGTTTTAGAACTTACGATTCAGTCACCCATGGGACTAGAAATGGCAGAAAACGGTCAAACTACTTGCTCTACAAACAAAAATTTGCATGACTATACAGAACAGGTAGAATAATATAATAAGGAAAGATCAGTTTGCAACATCAAACAGCGAAACGAGCAGTTTTTAATGTCAAAAAATGAATGGAAGTGAATGAGACCGGAAGTCTCAAGCCAAAAAGATTCAAATGGCTGCGCCCGCTCGTCGGCGAAAAATAAGGTGAATAGGTGTATGTACAGTGGATGTCAAAAGAAGATAAAACTGACTTGACCTAAAAAAAAAAAAAAGTCAGAAATGCATATCAATGTGATGTCATTACCTTGATGTCCATTTGACTTCTACACATTGGTGCTCTTTTGTCCATCAAAATAATGACACAAAATGTTATAATATATGAAAAGTTATATTTTTCTGGAAGCATCAATTATAATATACAAATCTACACCACCTTGATGGCAAAATGACATCTAATTGACATCTAACACAGGCGTCAAAAAACAATTACAGATGCTGATGCTAGAATTCGGCTTTAAGGTATTCAATTGATCAGGTTGAGTTACTGTACTTGTCTTTTGTACTGTACTGTAGTATTAAACCAACCAATGGTTAATTGATTTATCAATAATCAGAGAAAAATTCTTATTATTATCTCTGGCATTAACAAAAATTATTGAGGATATTACTAATAACATAGATAAAAATGAGAAGGTAGTCTGATTTTTTTTATAGATTTAAAGAAGGCATTTGATACAATAAATCATAATATATTGGTAAATAAATTAGAAAGGTATGGTATTAGAGGAGTAGCCTGGACTGGATGAGCAGTTATATAAAAGATTGAGAAACAAGATTAAAAACAACATGCAAACTCCTCACAGAAACGCCAACTGACCCACCCGAGGCTTGAACCAGGGACCCTCTTGCTGTGAGGCGATCATGCTACCCACTGCACCACTGTGACCCCCCTTATTTTTGGGCTTATGTATATATATGTGTATATGTGTGTATATATATGTATATGTATGTATATATGTATGTATGTATATATGTAAATATGTGTGTGTGTGTGTGTATATATATATATATATATCACATACTGTACACACAGGGTCAGCCTTTATTTGCAGTTAAACCTTAATAAATTAAATGGTGTCAGTTATTTTAAGGAAAGTTCCTGAAACCAAACCTGAAGTTCAAACCAAATTTACAAATGCAGTAGGCATGTTTAAAAAATCCAATGTTTTCCCTTTGCATATTTTAAAGTATTATAATATATAAATCTACAGAAAGATAAACATCATTTCACTGTGTTGAAAAAAGAGACTTCTGTGTTGCATGAGTGATCAATTTAAATGAGTAGAACGCTGAAGAGTTGTCTGTGTTATCAGGACTTTGCTGTACATTTACATCTTCTTTTGGAAAATACATTTAACCAAAGTGAAATACAAATGAGGAACTTTATGAGCTTGTCATGCTTGTAGTTTTGTAAATGAGTTGAATGGTCCTTGTGTGCGCTGATAAATGAAAGTTTTACATCTTACACAGGACTAAAAATAAGACTTTGACAGAAACTATGAAAATAAACCTATTTTACCTATTGAGGAATAGTGTATTCAGGTTTTCAACATTCTTCAAAATTTTCCATTTGTGTTTAACAGAATAAAGAAACTTAATAATATTTAGAACCACTTGAGGATGAAAAAATGAATATTTTTGAGAGAACTTGTTTGATACACATGGGTACACAAACCTTTTTAGTGACTCGTGGCTACTTGTGCCTGATTTATTATATATATATATATATATATATATATATATATATATATATATATATATATATATATATATATATATATATATAATTTTCTTTTTTTTTTTTTTGCAGTATCTGCATTTTCTACTCTGCATCAGAATTTAAACAACCTGTATAAGTGGGGCGGGACCGAGAAATCGGTATGAGACCAAGGGCGGGAGTGTTAACGACCCTCACCTGTGCGCACCACCTGTCTCAAGTCTCAAAGAGGAGCTTTGGAAATTTAGGTCCTGGCCACACGAATGCAGGTATTGTCAAAACCACGCTTTTTTCCAAAGCAGTTTAGTTTGTTGACATGAATATGCAGTGTCAGGTGACTGCATTTTCATTTGGACAGAAATTTTTAATATATTTTTTTTTTTAAACTCGTAAAAACTTTTATAAAAATACCCACGTACGTGTGGACATGAACTTAAAAGGAGAAGATGAGAGTAGATCAGGCCTGGACATTTTGGGCCCTATCATACACTAGGGTTTAATATCATTTGGAGTTGTTTTGATACCAGTGTTAAATCAATGCTTTTAAAATGGTACCGATGCCTGAACTGATACTTTTGAGCCACAAAATTATAGTGGATGACTCTAGAAAAATCTTTATATGACAAAATCTTTATAAAAAAAAAATTGTTATAGAACAATATAATTAAAGTTTAGGGTAAACACCAATTCATATTTTATATATTTGAGTTACATTAATCTATTTCCTTTGATCATTTGTTGGTTAGCATGAATTTAAGATTTGCATTATGAAATTACATTAGCTTACTACTAACCTGAGGAAAGGCTGTCATCAAATACTGAACTCATTTTTTCTAGGGTTGGGGCTTGTGACTATGTTTACATGGTTATCAGTAATCTAATGCATTGCCTTAATCTGAATAAGACAATATTATGATTATGGTGTTAACATGAGTTGCTTTTTGAATGTTCCTTTTATGATCCTGTCTTAAACGTTATAGTTATAGATGGATCATTGTGTCACCACGCTATCCATGTTTCCTCCAGAGTTTCATGTAATTTCAGGTGTTTCATTATTGTTATTTTTTTTACCTTAACTGCAGTTTCACTTTCATTCAGGAACATTTCGTTCATGTCCCCATGACAAACAGTTATTTAAACAGAGCATTAAGTAAGGACTGGTGTAAGAGTGCTCTTTTAATGGAGTTTGAATGGAAAGAAAAAACCTTCGCATTTCGCAACGCTGTTGTCTGTGGTAATCACTGTTTACATGGTAGTCTAGGCTCTTAATCAGAGTGTTGTCTTAATCATATTCAAATCACAGCATTGGTGTCCATGTAAACATACTCACTGAAATCGCCAGATGATGTCGCAAGCTTTTATAGACAGTGTATTCCTCTGCCTCTAAGTTGATTTCATGAGCTCTCAAATGTGTCAATAAGTTTGACGTGTTTCCTTCTTACACGCAACTTTTGTAAAGCGTCTGCTTCACGTTGCTGTGTCAGAATCCTTGCTTTTAAAATAGGCTTTAGAACGCTTCGTTTAAGCAAATTTGATGAACGCGATCATGCATGTTGATCTAAAGAGAGCCGCTCTCGCTCACCGAATGCGATGTACTGCGTGCATTGCATGCGTCCGTTCCCTAAGCAACAAGAACAAATGCCTCACATTGCCTGTGCATATTCCTCGAAGTTGTTTAGAATGAAATGTTTAGAGATGGTGTGACAACATGCACCTATGTGTGCCTTTGATGCACCCCTTGATGCTTCTTACATTCTTGTCGCAGCACCAGTGGCACCGAAATTAGGCACTGAAATTTATACGCTGATTTGGTCCGATATTTACCGGTTACAAAGGTACTGGTGCTATAATGGCACTGGGTTTAGGTACCCAACCCTAACATACACCCAGCAAAAAAGGTGCAAGACGCGTTTGCTGCGTTGTTTGTTGCTTTATTCAGACCTGGACAACAGTCATTTTCATGTTTTGCGCCACGTTGTTCAAATAGCAAATGCATTTGCACCACTTTGTGGACTCATGGGTGTGCTGGTATGAAAAGGAGGTGTGTTAATGCGCATTATTGACGCCATTGACCAACTAAAAGCTGCTCTTTAGTCCAACGCTTTTTCTTAGTTTATTCATGACAGTTTGTATAATAATTTATGGTCCCACTTTATAATAAGTGTCCTTAACTACTATGTACTTACATCAAAAAAATAAATACAATGTACTTACTGTGTTTATAATGTATTTGAGAACACTTGTGGTGCTTTTAAGTTGGGATAGAGGTTGGGTTATGGACAGGTTTAGTGGCATGGGTAGGTTTAAGGGTGGGTTAAGGTGTAAGGGATGGTCAACAGTGTATTTACAAATGTAATTAAAAAAGTTAATGACAGATGTAATTACATGTATTTAATCAAGCTTAAGTACACAGTAAATACATGTATTTACACAATAAGTACATTGTAACAAACTATTAATTCCTGTGAAATTACATATTAGTTAAGGCCACTTAATATAAAGTGGGACCTAATTTATTATTATAATTATTAATATTATTAGCAGTATTATTTATTATATTTATATTTGTTTTAACAAAAACAAGTTTAGATTTTCCATCCTGTTGGGTTTTGGAGACATATGCATCACCTTATAGGAGAAAAGAATAAGACGTGTGTTTGGATATTACTCAGTTATTAAATTCTAAATAATTATTTGTCAAAAAATGTAACAGAACTAGTCTATGTGTATAACTACTCCTTGTTTTTTAATTGTTATTAAAAATAAACCAGGATCTTACATGTCTCATTTATCCTCCCACCAAAT